GTCTGTTCTTCCGAATGAGGAAATGGAAATTGAAAAAAAAAAAATCGCACGAAAGGTTGAAAGCAATGGGCGTGAATTCGGCGAGAGCTTACGTCTGCCAGATGAGTTTCGCTTCACCGTGCAACTCGCACCTGAGCATAATTCTGACTTGCTTGCCCAACGTCTCGCGGGTCAACTCGGCAAAAGTAGAGCTTCTAAGCAAATGCAAGCTCGACTTGGTTCCTCCTGTTAACTTCGGAAGAGAAGAACTCCTTCTCAAATCGTGAATGGTCAACAGAATGAACATCTCATATTAAGCGTCATCAAGTTTGACGACTTTCCATTTCGTCCAAGAGCCGCGGCGAAAGTTCATCTTTGACCTCGGTTAATAAAGTGCAAATCGCTTTGAGGCGGTTCGTTGTAACCAGGGGCTGACAAGAGCTCATCTCTATTCTCGTCGCAGAACCTTTCAAGCCCCTGGGTATGGCTGTGATTTTCCCCGCTCGTTGGTGCGACCTCTGTTCTAATTCGCTAACCCGCTATGAGGGTAAGTCTCACGCATCATCCGAGAATCATCATTCCAGCTGTATGCAACGTAGGCACTCCTTGTTTGTCGTTCACAAAACCCCAAAATAATTGAAAAATCTGCAGCGGAAATTATATCTTACAGATGTAGCTAGGTCATTTAGAAAATCTCGGGTGGAAATTATTACGTCAGTGTTTTTTTTTTGAATTAAGAGTTCAGAAGAAAACTTCTGATTGCAATTAACTGAGTGGAAATTCAGCTGTAGAAGAAGACAGGCGAGTATCTTAGTGTGGATGGGGCACTTACTTGCCGGATGATGTGTTAAATCATCCATTTAAGAAAATTGCTTGTTTTGAGTTCCAAATGGGGACTCATGTGTTAATATTTCGTGTTGAAACCAACGGAGGAATGGATTGAATCCATGATTTCAAAAACATTCAGAGTTGAATTATAAAGTTTCAAAAAACAAATAAGACCTGGCCTCAAGCCACGGATATACAGTACTTTACAGGAAAGTATTTGCTGTTCAGGTTAGTGCCCTAAAAGCCAGGACGATCCCTGCGCAGATGATCTGTCCCGGGGTTGCAAAAGCCCTACCGTTGAAGTCACTCTAATCATTCATGATTCAATTACAGTACTATACATAGTTTTTTCCAGGGTTGCAAGTTGTTTTTTGTAGAACGAAAAATAACTAGAAAATTGAACGATAGTTTTCATTCATTTTCGATGAATTCGACGTGCAGAACTTTTGGTGTACCGGTGGTATCCCCAAGAACAGACGCGGGGCTCAGGCCGTATTGTACAGAGATTGGGTACGGACCCAACTCGGACGAAGGGCTAACTCGATGTACCGTATATTGCATGAGAAGCCAAGCCTTCATCGCAGCATCCCTTGTTTACAGTTCAGCATTAATACGAATAAAGAACGCGACACGGTTCATCGCGGGAAACCAAGGGGAAAATGATGTTTGGCGTGGAAGTCAAGTTGCATGCGCTTCGGAGGTTGTCGCACGATTCGCATTTGAACGTGGGAGCTCGGCTATGTGGGTCAGGTGTCTTCTGAATCAAATATCAAGAATGCGAAGCAGTTCGCACCGTAAAATATTTGCATTCGCAGGTGACCGGCTTATTTGAATTGAAGTCTGAGTGTGCCCGACGTTTTCGTCAGAATACGGGAACTTGGAAAGAAAATACTTTGAACTTCTGATAATGTTCTCCTTTCCACAGGATTCATTTTCTCCTCGAGCTTTCGAAAAAGCGTGTGCGTCAGTTTTGTTTGCTTGATGATTTTAAACGAGCGAGCGAAGAATTTGTAAGTTCATATTTTTTGTTTCAATTTCGTTCGCCTGGTGGTAATGCTCCTATCAGGGAAAAATTGTCGATGTAAGTCGCTTTAAACCTGGGCTGAAAATTTGTATTCTGGTTTTTGCCGCTTTATTTTCGTTATCTGTGTCCTGAAGTAATGTACAGTGCATCAATCCACGTCAATTTTCCTCCCGCTTATTTTCTTCCTCCAGATCCCGCATCATATTTGCAATCCATCCTCCATTTCAATTTTTAAAACTTACCACTCCTTGAAAATGTCATGTTCTAGCTTACTTGAAAGCCGTGGGAAATCAAAAGGTTTACGTGAAGAGGCCAAAACTATATGATTCTCAGATGATCCGCTTTCTTTTCTGGCTTCAAAATACCGTAGTCTGAAGATACTACGGATTTCCGTTGTTCATACTAGAAATTTCTCATAAAGTATGATCTAGAAATAGTTTCCCTTCAAGCGTGATTGATCTATCCTCTATTATTTTAACAGATTCAGCGAAATCGTGTGAAAACTCTCATCTTTTGTACCATCCTTGCGGCCCAGATTTTTATATTGTTTTCGAATGGTTCTTATTCGTGGAAGAAAGGAAGAAAATCATTCGGAATCATCCGCGGAAAAATTGGATGCGGTGCAGTTCAGTGCGTGAGACAAACTACTTCGACACCGATTAGCTGTGAGACTTTTGAGAAGTTCCGAGGTTAAGGGTATCACACCTGCTGAACGAACACCGAACACATATCATGACATCGTTTGTATCCCATTATTTGCCAGATTAAAAGTATTTTGTCGAAAGTTCCCATACACATTAAACGCAACGTAACAGAAAATTCCCTCACTTTTTGAGTTTTGCTCTCAAAACTTCACAACCCATTTTTTTCGAATGACTTCCTACTTTTTTAATTGCCATAGATTTTACTCAATCTTTCTCAAGTCCAGCCGACATTCGTGCGGGGAATGCTGGCAAGACTCGCGAAAAATCCCTTGTACTGTCGAGTAGTTCCGTCCATGTGTGACCCTTCAAAAAATTTTGCATCGTGCAGATCCCGATGGGGTGTCTTCGAGGATTTTTTGTTTGTTTTGCAAATGCAGTAAGTTGTACCACATAATATGGCGCCGATTTTTTGAAGGCCCACGCAGCTGGTGAGCACAGAGTTTCAACTTGTGAGTGTGCGCGAAGAAGCGGAACCGGGCTGATCTGATGTTTGCATTCCAAATGGTATCTTCACACAGAACAAGCAAAGATAACTTTCTCCTTGAAAATTACATAATTGCTCTTGCTCCATGTACACCTTTTCGCGATGGAAAATCAGGTGTGCGTCATACAGGAATATTATACTTTATATTTGTGTAACATTTTCGTACGTTCACGTACTCGTGGAATATCTCTACGCCTATTTTTGTATAAAACAGTAGTCTCAGCGAAATTTGTTCTGGTTCCAAATGAGCTTCAATCAATGCATGAGCGAAAAGCAGCTTTTCTACTACAATATTCACCATCCAAATGACTTTTTCTGCTTTGAGGAGACCTTTATGGCTTTATACATGCTTAAACCAACGTTATTTGGATAAGGCACTATTTGGTGTTGTCCCGAATATTAATTTAGAGATTCCATTTGTTTGTAAATATCTGCTTTCTATTCTCTTCGCAAAAATCTCAGACCATCTTATTGTGGCATCTTATAGTGGTGCACAAAAAACGGAAGTAATCAGCGGGATGAAACTGATGTCTTTTCCCTTGATGAATGATCACGTTGTTTCAACGTATTGAGAATTAAAATTTTTAATGGACTGTTTTTTTCAAAATTTTAACGAAGTTTTTCGCCGTTAGAAATTTGTTTTTCAGCACAGTGTTTTGATTTCATGTACTTCCTTGTGCCTGCTGTATCACGGCGTGACTGCTGTCAATAGTACCTGATCTGAATTGTAATATACTGTACAGCTTTTGTTACCCTTACACCTGTGTATTCACTGGTCATATGCCACAACTTCAATTCAAACCTCCAGAATATTTTCGGAACGCGAATATGTCTGTGAATTTGTGGTTTACCAGTCAAACGGAGCATCACTACTGGTGCATAACAGATGCGACCGCAAGATATGACTGCGGCCATATATCCATCGTGTACTCCTACTGAAAAATAGGAAAAAAGATTGTAGACCCTTGAAGATTGTAAAAAAAAAAAGATGGTACGAGTACACCCTGGTAAACCATTTGCCAGCAGCAGCGCGGCGAAGTGTAACTTATAGCGCGAGTTGAGCGTTGACGTTGAAATATCGGCTCAATTTCGGACGCGTACTCGTAGCGAACCTGGCGTTAATTGCGTGCTGAGAATAGGGTATCAGATGCGCACATGGCGTCGCGAGAAATTACCTTGTTGTTTCAGAATCTTTCCTGGAAAGATCTTTCAAAACTCTTGGGAGATGATAAATCCTCCATATTGAGCACTGCGAAATATATGCCGTAGTTGTACTCCGCCATTTCCGACTCGCTGTTTTTCTTACCTTGTTAGAAAATTATTTAATATTACCTTGTAGATTTTATGAAGTACTGTAACTAGCACAGTTTCCTATTGAAAATGCGTGAAGCCTGAAGAACATTCCTGCTCCAAGATTTTCCAGGGTCACGCTAGCCATGCACTGCAAATAAATATTGGATTTTCCATGTGTTCCTTATTTTTGGCGTATTTTTTCCCTGACAACCAAATAAGAAAGGAACGTTGAAAAATACGATTGTTCGAACGACTGCTGTATTTCATCCCTTTGGTGCTACGCCATCTTATATTCACTACTCTCTGAATTTCGAATCGTGATCACCCTGAATGGAATCAGACTGCTGTCAAAAAAGCTTCGAATGAGACGATTCGGCGTGAAAAGATGAATCGTTCCATTTGAAAAAATAAAAATAAATATTCTATCGACATTTGCCTGTCCCAAAAGATCATGAGAACTCAGAACATTTTCTTTTAATTTTTATACCGTGTTTTGTTGTACCTTTCCGCTGAAAATTTCCGAAGCCCAATCCAATAAAAGACACCTATCACCCAACCAAATGGATTTTTTGTGGATTTCAGTTCTTGGAAATTTGTCGGAAGTTGAATGATCTCAACTATAACAGGCGATTCCATGCCAGTACAGTGCTAACCTAAATATAAATGCAATACAACACATTAGGAAAAAATGAATCGGGGTGTGGCCTAATGTGTGTACTGTATTACAAACATTCTCAAAAATCAAAGTTAATTATTCGGAAATAGCATCTACTGTACTGTAAGCTGAACAACCAAATTCTGACGAGGACAACAATTCAACCATCGGTTCAACAACGAAGAAGTGCCCATACAAAATTATAGTCCATCGGATGGAAGTTGAGCAACTAATATTTAAATTATATGAGCTCTTTGTTTTGTACCAATGGACTGTAGATTGAAAACTCTCATTCAACATCCAGATAATTGGACTTCTACTGTTTCAATTTCTTCATTTTTGTGATACACGACTAGGGATTTTGTCTTCCTTTGTGAAATTCCAAGTACATAACGCTGATGCGCTTGAACAAAAATCTTAAATTTGTAAAATTTCTTTGCAGTTGCTGAGGTGGAAATGGCGTCGAGATTTGCAGAAAGATCCATTCCGCACATCAGGGACATCTTTGGATTGTCGTCATCTTCAAACTCGGCAGCCGGAAAGAATCAGGTGACCACTGAAACCTCGCTGCGAAATGGAACAAAATCCGTGCCAGAAATTGCAAAGCCAACAGCTCTGAAGAGCCACGGACAAGGAAGTGACAGTGCCATTTCAGTTGATTCCAGCGAGGAAGAGTTTGGGGATGGCCGCCGAGGAAGACGCAAGTCTCGCCGAGGACGCGACGCATCCCACAAACGTGGATCCAGTGCGTGCACCCGCCGCGAGATGGCAGAAGAGGACGCGGAAGAGTTTCGCCACTTGGAGCGACACCTATCTATGAAAAAGACAATCCGGAAAAGAATCATGCGCGAGCTGCAAGGCGCGATGGTGGAGGACCCTTCGGAGTTCTGCGCCGAGCGTCGCTCCGCTGCGATCTCTGCACACAGCCTGACGTTTCGTCGAGGCCGCCGCGGCGGCCCTCCTCCAATCCCAAAAACCGCCGCCAATGACAATAGTGAAGAAACCATTGCCGTTGAGCAGCCGGGATTCTTGGATATGCTGAGACTTGCGGACCACGATGCTGATTCCGGCAACGACAGTCCAACAAGAGTGCCGCCAATTGAGGGACACGACTCATCTACTGCAGCTTCCAAACGTCACATTTACGACTCGTATCGTCAAATGAGCTCCTTCCGCCTCGCGATGCCTGCTGAAGATGAAGCAGATGCCGTCGAAGAGGACAATGAGGAACCCGTGTCAACGCCCAATTGTGACAAGCCGAATCCTGCAACTGCCCCATACTCCAAGAAGTCCTTCTGGAAGCGCATAATTAATAAAACGAAGCGATGAATTGCTTCCCGTGGCCTGGATCGATCCTGCACCAGAAGAGCAACTTGATGGCTTGGTTGAAAAGAGTAGATTTCATTCAATGGTGGCTTCATTTTCCCTCATCAATCCATCCGTAGGGCTTCCACCGCAAAGCTCCAACTTCCTCTCCATGCCCGCAAGGTTGTTATCCTCGCGTTTTGATTTTTCTGATTTCTTCTGTTTATCCCTGAATTTTTCTGGCGTGTGAAGCTTACCTTCCTGTACATTTTCGAATGAAATGACCTTTTACAATATGTAAAATTTCCCTTGAATGGAATTGAGTATTACAGTGCTTGAAGGGGTTTTTAACTGGTCATAATTTTGAGTCTTCGAGCTTGCGTCGGTCTTGACCGTGATTCAGCTTTTTGCACACTGTATGGAAGTTCTTTTTTTATGTGTGTTATCGTTCATTTGGACTCTCAAGTTCCCTCTATGTGGCATTTGCTGTATGTGCCTTCTCCCATGTCGATTCACTTTTTAAGCAAATTTTGAGTGAGAAATTTGCGAATCATCTCGGGACCAACTGTGTGATTTTTTGCCTTACGTCGGGCTGCAATCCCTGTTTTTTTTTGCAAAACAAGCCGCAAACCCGAATGGAAACCCTGCAAAATATAATTCCCCCTGATTTTGTTCCCCCTGTGGCAATATGTAAGTGAGCTGCATTAATCCTGCTTCCTGATGTGTTTACTGAAAAAAAAAAAAAAAATGATGTATTTTCTGCGATCGGATGCCGGCTCTCCTACGACTTTGTATTGTACGTGTATTTACTTGAGTGTCCAGAGAAACAGCGAATCTTCGTTTTGTCCGTTTGGACTTCGGTAGAAAGAGGTTGGGTGATCAGAGAAGTTTGAACATTAATTAGGACTCTTCTTCGATAGCCATTTGTACTCTGAGGTGCCTTTCGAAGATACTCTGCCCTGACTCCTGATGTAATTTTTTTCAGATTCACAGTTTGGGCTGCTGTTTCTTCCCTCTTGGGATAATGCACTTATCTGTATGTATGGAATCCATTCACCTTCCCTCCCATGTGTATGTCATTGTCGTGAATGAAATAAAACTTCCCAGATCTGTGGTCCGCTGTGTGTTACTCCGCGCATACCCTATATGTTACACCATGCCACATCAAATTTTACCTGTCCAAAGCTTCAAAGAAAAAATTTTCAAGTTGGACAAATATTAGATTAATCCCTGAGAACAAAAATGTGAGGCCGAAGTGGCTTCTAATTTCGGAGAATTTTCGAATTTTTTAGCTAACGACAATAAGACCCGTAGACCAAAGCCAGCGTTTTATCTGACTGACAGAAACAACATGCGCGTTCTCAGAGATTATTCTACTGGGAAATATTTTCCTAAACTTTGCATTTACTTCAGCATAATCCATATCAAGTATGGAAAAATCTCGTGTGTGCTATGTACTGTGTTTTTCATTTTCGTTTCATCGCCCACTAATTCTTTCCCTTCATTCAACCACAGAATGATTCTACTGACTGAAAAGCTTTCATTGGAATGCACTTTTACGCTGAAAAACGGCTTTCCAGCAGGCGGAATATTTTTTTTTTCATATATTTTCTAAATATAGGATTCATGATGCAATTTTCAGATAAGTGCATACGCACACCTAAGTACAGTACTTCGTTGTTATTTTATGCTGTGCGAATAAAACGATTTTTATGCATGAATAAGACCATCTCAGAAATGTTGTCGTACAATATGTTTAAATGGAAACAGTGCTTTGTCAGGGGCATGAGCTTTTCAGGATCGCAACAAGTACACCTTAAATTATCAGCTACATAATTTTTTCACTTTTTTTTTTTACTTATGGTTTTACACTTTTACTCCACAGCGTGGTGCTGGGGGGGAGGGACTTTCCGGGTGAGGGGGGGGTGATAACTTCGCAGGCCTGAACTGTCCCGGAGTTCCAGCGGCGAGGATCCTTTCCGGGCCCGAAGAGCCACGGGTTTGGGAAGGTCGTTGGTTCCCGACGAACCCTTGTTATTAGACGCTTTTGAGCATCTCCCCGTGCGACGGAAACTTCGCCCACTCCACTCACCGGGGGTGCTTGCATTCGAGAAGCGAAAGATTTCCTTGCGGCTTCTCCGTTGTCCCCGGTGGCCGCTGCAGACCAGGAGATTCCCGCGGTCGGGAGAGGAAAATAAGCTTGCTCTCCAAGCTGCTTTTTGTGACGCATAATGTTCGGGTGGTGATGCGGCGGACATGCCTTCATTCTCTTCACGCATACCGGTCCGAAATTCTCGCTGCTGCATGAATATGTCGCTTCTCGTTCCGCGTTTTTGCTCAGAACTCTGGCAGGTCGACTATTAGGCAGTATGCATGAACCAAAACATCTAACCTGTGCTGTCGCGTTTTATTTATTTTACGCATTTATTCTGCAGAATTTTCCATGCGACCTCAACTGCTTACACACCGATCCTACGCACTCGTATATTGTACATGAATCGCAATTTAATGGGCCTTCAAGGGCGAAACCATTGCAGGAATTCCTTACAAGATTCTAAATGCGTTCCTCGACCTTTTCGCACCTGCAGATTTGTGAAAATTAGCACAATACTGTACTTCGCAGAGCCTCCTTTTGGCTCCAATCCGAGATTCAGCTCAGCTCGCATTTTCCATTGGCTCTGAGGTTAACCTCGGCTAAAAGAAGAAGGAGAGTTCGAAATCAATGAACCAAGTTGGATCCAAAAAGAATAAGCAAAAGCTGCATATATGTCCACACCACGAAGACGGGAAGTTTGAATTTTTGAAGTCAATAAAGTAGCATGGGATGGGATGGGATAAACCTACAGGGAAATGATCAGTTTTGTCCAGAGACAGTAATCCTAGCTGAGGAGTTGTATAGATTAATGGGTGGTTTTACGGGTTGAGAAACCGACCCATGTCATATAGGAAATGCTGTTCGCGAGAAAATTTCACCGCCTATCTGCTGACAATAAGACTCCTGCGGGCAAGACTGTGGTTCGCGGACCGTAGGTAAAATAACACGGTAAATCGAAAACAGAAGTACTGTGCAGCGTATACAATATCTTCATTGGTAGTTTGGAAGTGGAATCGAAAACCTGTCGCCAGATCTTATTAAAATACTTCTAGAGAAAATCGTGCTGTTTTAAGCCCTTGTTCCAGTGCATACAGTCCTGTTTAGGTACAAAACAGGGCCCAATCAAGGTGGCTGCTATTGATGCTGCAGCATTAGGCCCACCAGGCAAATAGGCTCTGGAGAATTGGAAAACAAAATTCCCCAAGCTGGGGAATTTCCTATGAAAAATTCCTGATCAAGGGCATCCCAACTTTTAGAAAATTATGAAAACCCTGCAAAAACTGAAAAGAAAAAGAAGTACTGTATTTATGAGTTTAAAAAACCATGCATCAATAAATCAATTCCAGCACACTGCGCATAAAAACCCTTGAGGAGGAAACAAGATTGAGGACATAAAACTTGGTTGAGAGCACACTATTATTCCTGCATTAAAAAAGTAAATGGAGGCCAATGGCCAGAAACAGGCAGGCGCAGTCCCACCAATTTATTGGGAGGAGGAAATCCAATCAAAGATATCAATTCCACCCTTGCCACCAATGGCAGGATAAAATTGTCACTCCTGTTCCCACTTCCAAAGATTATGGTGGCCTCAAAAATCTTCTGAAGTGATTTTTTGGTGCATAAAAATGTAAAAATTTCCTCACTTCAGAAGACTTCTGAATCTTTCTCAAAATGTTTGGCAGGATTAGAATTAAATATTTAACTTTTTCCTCACCTAGAGATCCTTCAGAAGTGCATTTTTTTTATTTCAACTGCTCATGGAAACAACTTTTTTCAAGATATCCCAAGTTAGCCAGACAAGTTCTCCAAACTTGTCTATAAGAACACAAGTTTTTTGGACAAGTTCTCCAAATCTCATCCAAATGAGCTCCAAAAATGTCTGTGGAACTCATTTGGATGAGTTTTGGACACATTTTGGAGAATTTTGTGCTTACTGGGAATGGGTTAAAATTTGGTGAATTTTTGAATAAAAGGAATAAGTGGATTACATTTTTTCACAGTATATGTATTATGCACTTTTGAATGAGGTTCCAAGCAGTCACTTTTTATCAGGTAAATTTTTTATCTTTTCAAATCAGTTAAAAATAATGTGTGTATTCTGGTATGTTTGTAAAATTACTGATGCTATATTTTATTGATGTTTGGATTAAATTGATTATTGCACTGTTCTTTTATATATTTCTAATTGTTTTGTACATTTAACTGCATGAATAACTTGCTCTAATATACAGATTCATCAGAAAACAAGTCATGCATTCACATTTCTTACTATGACATTTTGCCTTTGGAGTGGTGTCACATTCAAGACATTATTTCTTAGATAAAAATAATATGTTTATGGTCATGTTTTGAAGTTATTTGCACAAATCAGCAGTAGTGATGGAATACCTTTGAATGTTTTTAACATTTTTGGGAAACTATGTACTGTAGAACCAATTTAGATTTTCCACTTAGATAGCAAACCCTTTTATGAGAAGCCAACCACTAAATACTACTCATAAAAAAACAAGAATAAAATTATAAAACATTAAGAATGCTGTAAGTTTTTGTATTGTATAGTATGCTATCTTCCTACACCATTCTTCAACATGTAATTCCTATCTGCAAGCATGCGCAGTTCATGAAGTCACTCATTCATGATGTTGTGGGACCCAGGGAACAGCCCCCCTAGCATGTGTAGAGTCTAGGGCTAGGGAGGCAGTGTGGAAGTGAGAGGCGGTGAGTTGGGAAGTGTTAAACAATGCCGAGGCACCAAAACGAACAGTTTCGTGGAGCGTTTTCGTGTTCTAGGGGATTCCTACCAAAATCCAGTGAACCTGAGACCACTGGCAGTGGTAATGTCACTTTCTCGGCTCGGCAGTTCAGGGCGGCGCACATTTTGTCAAGAATTTTTCAGCCTCGTGCGTCCGTGACGAAGGAAGCAATTTCGGACGACATTCATTCCTTCTGAGGTTCAGGTTGTTGAAGTTTTGATGAAGAGAAGCCCGATGACTCTTAACCACGGCAGAAATCAGTTGGATTATCCCGCCAACGACCCATACACCAGAGATTTTTTCAAAAATCGGCAAGATTTTTACCCGCAACATGGACCGCAATCCCCACCGGGTGCTGAAATGTACCAACAGCAGCACGTCGGTCAGTACTACGACAGTTTGGCGGGAACTGGTGAATACGGAATGGATGGGCCGTAAGGACACCAGAATGTCCCAAGAAATAAGGGTGGCTTTCATTTCACAATAGCAGAAACTGCTTATGGGCAACTGAAAGTGAACAAAATACACGATTGAGTAAGATGCAAGAATCTGCTGGAAGGGACATTCTCTGCGAAATCAATGGCATCGATGTGCGTGGAATGTCTGGTTCAGATGTAAGTGTTGTCTGAGTGTCCGATGGAGGAAGAAGCAAGAATTCTCAAATTCCGAAGGTGTTTCGGTTCCGATGGGGCGTTGGTGATAGTGGAGTCAACTCTGACTCTGGAATCGGGCGTAGTACAAAACCCACCGGATTTGGATTTTTGCGTAGCGAACTTTGGATTGTTCGGATGCGGTCCAAGTTGGCTGGTTACAACGCCGTGAACTGCGACTATACAAATCATGATTACGCTTACAGGAATGGCTATCCTTCTTGAGCTCAATATGTCTCACCTCTGGTTAGAAAGGAAAGCACAAGCTTCCAGCATGAGCAGCCATCCCCCAGTCTTCTCGTTTGGTGAGTAGTTCGATCGCATCTGCGTCAGTCCATGGTTAATCTGATAGTCTTGCCGATGAGAAAAGTTGTTCAAGGCATTCATTTTCTGGGTCCATGGCGGCAGTACATAGCTCTTATCAGTTGTGTACTCGAGTACCTGCGGTAGCACTCGCAACTTTAAGGAATGCTGATTTTATTTTTACAGTTGAGTGAACTCTTCCCTAAAATTGTTACTTTGCAAAATCATTCCTATTTGGTTATTGCTTTGACGTTTAATTATTATACTGACAAACGGATACATTTCAAATCTACTCGGAAGAATAATTTTGAGCAACGGTAGTCCCCTCCTCCCGCCTGAACAATTGCTAACTTAGCTGCTATGGAACGATGCACATGCAGTAAGGTTTTTTTTTTTTAGCGTAATTATGTCAACTTCGCATTTCTTGGTTGTGAATCCGGACAAATCATTTCTGTCCATTCTTCCAATGCTCGAAGGTTAATTCGTGTCGTTTTATAACTTTTATTTTCGTTGCATCAATAATCCCGACGAATTATTTTACAGCTATGATTTTTATTGTTCGCTTCGTTGCTGATTCTTGGAAGTGTGAGTGATTTCGATGTGTATCCTTACCGACCTTACGATAGGATCCCGAAAGATTTGATGCACGGTCGTCAGGTGACGTTTGGCTACCGTGCACAAGGGGCTATAGACTACATTGACTCTGTGATCAAGTTGCCTCCAATGGACAAGGGCTTTGGATTCGAAATACTGGGTGGCGCAGAAGAAAGCTTGCAGGTGTCCATCAGGTGCTTCCCGGAGGCGCAGCCGCAGCTGACGTTCGGTTACGTCATGTTGACGAGCTTGTTGCGATTGACGGTCACTCCGTTATCAATGCCTCTCATCATCTAGTTATTAACTTGATGTCAGTGGCAGCAGTGAATGGTCTTATGTCCTTGACCATCCGAAGACCTGCATAAAATCCGAACACACATCTATCTCCAGGTGATCACATTGTGTACCACTTGAAACTTAGAAGCTTGATGGATGCGATCAATACTATCAAGGTTGCGAGTTTGCCGTTGCAAATAACATACGGTTTTTTATGGATATTTACAGAGAATGCCGGCCGAGGAGATATATACCCGTACGATGTTACGGCAAGTAGGAGAGAGAATGAAGGTTTTGGTTTTGTGATCATTTCTTTGCTTGCAAAACTCGGCTCCACCATAAGTACGTGAGATCAAGGATATTACTGCAGAAATTGGTTGAAATTTGTTCATTTTCGTTTCTTAGGGAGAATTATCGAAGTAAGTCCAGCGGAACAGTGTGGTAAGCTGCACATCGGTGACCGGATCTTGGCGGTGAATGAGCTGAGTTATTTTGCATCTCCCGGATGGTGACATAGTTTCCATGATCAAAGATTCCTGCTACTCAGTCACGCTTCGGATAGGTCCACCTCAAGGTAAATCATGCTTGTGATTTCCGGTATGAGTTGAACGCCCAAAAATTGGAATTATGTATGCCTAATCAACTCCGACAAGCCTAATGTACGAAAGTTGCCGATCTCGGTGATGTGAAGCTAAGAAGTCTATAGATTTTATCCCTGAATTATTGCTTTATGCGTCGCATTTCGCTCTCAGGAATAGTTCACGATCTCAGATATTCATTTTCGGTGTAAAGCTTTATAGGGAATCCATGTAATGTATTCTCGGTATGCGATAACTTGCAGATCGTGCTACTGGATTCTCGATTGCCTTGCTTTGAAAGCTTGAAGTAAAGCTTAGGGTGATTTTTTTCGTTCTTACATGAGATTCTGGTGGGACGAGAATTTACAAGCATGTCGCATGGCACTAGATATTCCTAGTACCGTAATATTCTCATTCGAGTCGATTGAAGTACAGTACTATCATAAGTCAAGTCTCGCCATTTTGAAAAATTAATTCTGAAAATTTACTGGGGTGTAAATTTCCAATGGGGAAATACCGCATACTGCATATCCGACGTATTTCGTTAGTTCTCGAAGATCGAAAGTGATCGTGATTTCATATCTCAAATCTTTCTTTGTTTCGTTCTGCGGCATGAAGATTAACCCCTGTGTCCGTAGCATTTTATCCGATTATTCTGGTATTTTCAGAGAATGCAGGTTCACTTGCCGGATCCGGAATCATCGGAGCTGACTCAGATGAGCCACCGTCTCCCGGTCCGGGAACAGCTCACTTCCGGATGGTTTATCGACCGCAAGAAATTAGCCCACAGCACACGTATTTTCTTTCACCCGCCTCATATGAACGGGCCAAACGTGGCGATGTCGGATTATGTGCCTGTGAACGGACAAGGGAATGGACATGGAAAGCTCATGCGCGGTAGTCACATGGCGGTTCATTCGAAGCCATAGAGTGAAATCACCATAGGGAACCGAGGCGATCAAAATATAATGTACAATTCCTAATGGGACTGCAACGTCTCATCCTCGCCGAGTAAACGATGAGCGCTTTCCTTGTTTTGGCTATGTTTTTCAAGTGAGGCCCTCGGGTTGAGTTAGTGAGACCTGACCCACCACACCATGCTGGAACTGGATCACTCTCCCGGAAGAGAGAAAACAGTTCCGCGTTTTGTTAGTCTTCCCGCGAGGCATTCCTCCGTTTTAAATATCTTTCGCTGATCGATTGACTATAGATATGGGAGCAAAGGTTATTTCTCCGCAAAAGGTTTTCACTCGAAGGTGTTCGTGCGCTTTTGGATTGCGCCCTGGCTTCCGAGAGGACTAAATGCCACGATCCGGTTGTTCTGTTTTGTTTTTGGCTGAGGTCTGACCATACTGAGTAGTGTTGGTCCTCTTGAGTGGGAGGAATTCGTGAGATGTTATCTTCTCCAGTTTTTTTGAGTTTTTAAGCGGTAAGAAAGAGAACGAACGTTAGTCATTTGGCTGGCAATCGCACGGTTTGCGGTCGCTTGGGGCGGATTGTTTTTGAGCATCAGAAGTGGTTATGTACAAAATCGTTAGAGATCGTGCATGGTTGACCGATTCATGCGTGAATTATGTTTTTTGGATGAGTTGTATGCGATTGTTCATGTTCAGAATCAGAAAATTTTCATCTTTTTTGTAAATGTGTCGGTTGACTTCAGTGGAAATCCCATTCGAGAAGTATGATACGTGCGCTTCACGTATCATACTTTTGAATAGCAGAGGCTATGGCATATAATTTTATTTCCCCCGGAACACCACACCATTTCCCCGCGCCGTGAACCCTTAGCACACCGCACCGTTTTTTAATGCTGCCCCATCTATGTAATGGAGCCGCATTGCTATATTAATTGCGAAGCCGGAGTCTGCTGGGTGGTTCCCATGAGGTAGCAAAAATGTTGAAGATGATGTCCTTATTGTTCCATTGTGAATTTTCTATATTAACATGATTGAAATCCTCCCTGAACCTAATTGATTTTTGTCCTCATATCTGAGGTCACATTGTTGATCGAAAAGTCATGATGCCACAATAGTCATTCAATGACACATAGGTTATTATGCATCTTATGTTTTTCAGTCAACAATATGGAAACCAAAGCTTCAAAATCCACAGAAGTCTTCTCTTGGGCATGATATTTCCATTCAGGGTGTGTGAAAGGAATGTTGGTTCTATATCCAAAATTGTCTGTGTCAAATTGTCAGTCTTGATTTGTCCTATATCCAAATGTTAATTTAACCAGCTCAGTGACCAACAAAAACTTCATTAAAATTCCCCACTATTACCTAAATGTGATGCCAGGCACGTATCATGCTTAAGACCATCCTGAGAAGGGGGCATCAACGTTTTATGTGCTGGGAGGTTGAATCAGTGCTTCTTTGCATATAGACTGATTTTTTTATTCTCAAGGAATGTGAAGCATTGTCTAAAAAAAATTGGCGACTAATTTCTTGAAATTAGTATACCACTTTCTGAAACACAGGTGTTTGATTTTTTCCAGCCAAATTTTTTTTTTCAACATCTAAAATCACTCAGAATTTTCAGACACTTATCCTTTTTGGGCTTCAGTTGAATCTTTTTGAAAAGCTATACAGATTAATTTCTAAGTTTATCTGTATTAGTAAAAATGCTGCAAAAAAGCTGTTAGATGAAGAAAGCCACTTATTGTAAGGTCTGAATTCCTTGAACTAAGTGATGGTCAAATAGAGTATTGTAGTTTTGAACATCATGGAAATGTACAAGTTACATAATGTACTGTTTAACATTTCTGGTGCCTTTTTTTCCATTTTGGCCAGCATAATGATCTACTGTTTCAATGTGGTCCTTGGCCATATCTGAGTTGGGCACCACTGCACTACGGCATTATTTTTGTTGTCTTGTGAAAGGATTAAAGACAAGTTGTTACTTTTTTGGAAGGAGGAAGGACAGGGGGTGAGGCAGCAAGATTGTAGGGCTGAAGTTCCCAAATGTGCACTATACAGAGGCCAAATGGTGTCCGCTAACTGCAGTAGGTGGTTTTGCCCATGAATTTTATGACCTCAAAGGGGCCAAAACATTTTGGGAGAAAGCAGCAAAAAAGGCTGCGTGTATCTTTGTGGTCTTTTGCTTCGGACTCAGGGTTATAAGCTGGCCTGGTTAACAGGGTGGGTGTTTCTGCTTGTTGGCCTGTTGTATGTACCACTAGCGCTGCCGGGCCATGGTTTGCTGGACCTGGGCAAGTTGTTTGGTAATATCCTGTTCTGAGGTGTTCAAGCACATATTGATTTGTAGGTGGCATTTGCCATACCTCCATGGGCATTAGCCTGGTTGCAGAGTGGGGCATATGCCACTGTTGCCAGGTGGAGGACAGTGTCCCAGATGATGGGTTCTGGGGCTGCCTTAACCATGATGGCTGTCAGGAACTTAATTGTCCATTTGCAGGCCCTTTTCCCTTCAGGATTGTAGGGCTGCACAGTATGTGAGGCAATTTGATTTAACTTATTGAACTGATTGATTGCAGCCAAGGAAAAAACTGCTGCATTATCCAAATGAATTATTTTGAAGGTTATAAGTTGAGTACAGACATCCACAGATGGCATTTGCCATTGCACAGCAAATAGGTTGTATGATTGCCTGTTTGGAGCAGTAGTTGACTGCCACAAGTGCATAGCAATTGTCCTGTGTGGATGTTGGAAATGAACCCCAGCAAACTACACCCAAGCAATCATGGCAGGGCTGACGCAACCATATGTGCAGGTTGTTCATTGCACTGAGGCGCCACCAGTAGGGGGGCTCCAAAATGAAATTTGGACCATTTGAAATTTGCAGCACCTCCTATCGGGTAATTGGCACACATTTTGATACAAATGCTTGTGTCTGTATAGTGCCCCCTATATCTTGGTGGATTTTTTTATCCTTTTCACAAAGAGCAGCAGGCCATTTACTTATTGTGCAAAGCAAAAAATGGCCCTACATTTTTCAAATGTAAAAGCAGAAGTAGTTGAAGTAATTCATCTTTAAGAAGTAGCATAATTCAAATGAGTTTTGGTATCAACTAGTGGAGTGATACCCAAACTAACATACTTGGTTGATCACCAGCATGCATGCCCCTTCTTTCAGAAAACAATACATGGAAAAATGGGGTGCTTGTTAAAATTTGTTTCAAACTTAAATGAAGTATTTCTTGTGCAAGTCATGCATTAAAAACAGGACAGGAACATTTTAGACATGATTCAATTAATGAAATTAAGATTTTAAATGCACGACTATGAATTATTCACAAATTACTGTGAATTATAATGATTTCTTCCCAATTCTTTTTTATCCAGCTTAGCTAAAATTCTGTGCAGGAGCCTAAAACTTGACCAAAATGGTAATAAGTTGTCATGATTCACAGAAGATAATTTTGACAATTGTTGACACACAAAACACAAATGCTGCTTAGTTGAACTAAGCTCAAGAGGAATTTGAACTAAAAACACTAATTTTATAAATGCGATATGCCTTCTCACCCCTGCAGGATAAAAATTCTCAGCCCACTCCTTTGAAAATAATGTGAAGATCAAATTTTTGTCAGCTAAAACTCACATTGACAGATATGTTGTATAATATTACCCAATATTACAGTTTGAATGGCCTTGTACAGTATATACATATCAGGAATAGCAACTTCTTTGAAGGTATGCAAGGTAAAGTGGACTGAAATCTTCAAGGGTTTCTTTCTCAGGGGTACATTTATGCACCCCTGAAATATGGCATGGAGGCTCGGCTGTTGGAGTGCTGCTAGGCCATTGAGTACTTGGCCAATGTGTGGAAAATGTACCATTGGTGGTGTTTGCGCCAGTGTTTGGTGATGCCCAAAACCATCATTTTTGGTGGTTTGGTGGGCAGCATTGGTGTGGGGGTTGCCTTTTGTGATGCTGAGTGTGTCTGGTGGTAGTTGTCCGTATTTGCCAGGCAGACATCCTGTGTTAGTTCCCAGTCATCAACTGACTTGGAATAGAGGTGCAGATTTAACCCTCCAGTTGTGATGGATAGGAATTTTCCAATGAATGCCTTGGTTATGGCATGTCCCTGATTAGGTAGGTTCTCCTCAATGAATCGGAGGTATTGGATATATTATTCATGCATTCTGTGGCCAAATTGCATGTAAATTTTGTGATTGGAGGGATGGAGCTGCTGGAAGCACTGGAAATGTTTGTAAGGGGGGGGGGGTGTAGACCAAATAGGATGCATATGTATGCAGCAATATCACTGTACTTCTCAAACTCCTGCTTGTAAAATAGTTGGGCCTTGCTGGCAACTATCAGCTGGGAGTGCCCAATGAGGCCATCAACCTGAGTGTGATTCAGGGTACAGTATTATCATGGCAAAATGTGAATCCAAGATTTCAGAAATATACCTTGATATCTACCGCAGGTATTTGCTTTGGTAGTTGACTCACCTCCAGTGTAAGGAGGCAGCAAACTCAGCTGCTGACAGCCCTGCAAGGAAGTCAGGAGCCGCATGAATTACCGTGTTGTAGGGTGCAATGCCACAGTGTTCCGGCAGCATCACAAGTTATTCCCATGTGGATAAAGGAGTTTGGTTAATGCCATGGGCTGTGCAATAACCTTGCATGGCTGTGAGCATGATGGCATTCCATGGATTGGTGAGTGGGCATGCCTATTGTGGCTGGGAAGCCCCTACAAGTGAAGAAGCAGGGGATGCTGGTTGCTTTGAAGAGATCACATTTTCACTGAGCAAAGCCATGGTCCATATTGGCTGAGCCCCCAATAAGATCATTCCATGCCAAAGTTCTATGATGAAGATTTGGTTAAGCTCAAGGAGCAACCCTCAGAGACCTTTGAGAATGACCAAAACACTGAGTCAGGTAAGTAACCAACTTGGACCTCAAACTCAGCAGGATCACCCACCATGGGGATTATACACTATACAAATATGCCCCAGACTGTCTTGCATGTGTAGCTCTGCACCTGTTGGGCATTAGCAACAGAATGATGCCTTTCAGCCATACAAGATGGTTGCTGGAAATTCTAGCTGACATGCTGGTGCATGGTATTGCATCAGCCATTGTGCAATTGGATGAACTTTAAGCATGCAACACAGATGTTTGCATGCAGAACAAAGATGGCGGTCTACAACTGCTACCATACTGAAGTTACAGCTTTACCAGAACATGGGTAAGTGGAAATGCATAGTACTGTATTTTCAAAAGAATCATGTGTTGAGTAAGATTCTCAATATACACTCAACATTCTGATACCCTACTGGCATGCATGCATAGGGCAAGAAAAAAGCATAAAAAACCTATGTATTTTCTGCAACCAGATGTGGGGCTCTTCTACGACTTTGTATTGTAGGTAAATTTACTTCAGTGTCCAGAGAAACAACAAATCTTTGTTTTTTTCATTTTGACTTCGGTAGAAAGAGGTTGGGTGATCAGAGAAGATTGAATATTAATTTGGACTCTTTTTCGATAGCCATTTGTAATTCTGAGGTGCCTTTCGAAGATACTCTACCCTGACTCCTGATGTAATTTTTTTCAGATTCACAGTTAGGGCTGCTGTTTCTTCCCTCTTGGGATAATGCACTTATCTGTATGTATTGAATCCATTCACCTTCCCTCCAATGTGTATGTAATTGTCGTGAATGAAATAAAACTTC